GATCAAATCATATGATATAATACCATATTGTTGCTAAATAACATGCAGGAGTGTGATTTCAAAATTTGGCCTAACTTAAGCATAATTTGGACCATTACTCTAAATAATACACATGAGCGTAAATTTGATAAAATTTTTATTTATTTTGCAAAAACAAAACCATGCAGGATTTTATTTTTGAGAATTTAGAAATCATGATTTTAAAACTTAACTCTTTATAGTGTAATTTAGTTAGTTAATCAATTAAGGTCATATATTTAACAATGCGATTGTAAAGCCGACCCAACATTTCAACTATTATACATTCTGCAATTGTTAAATCCATGGACCCTAATTAGTGTTTCAACCCCCTAAAAAACCATGACCCGGCTGAATCAACGGTAAACCCGTTGACCCGGGTGGACGATTACTTACTCCAATAAATTTTTAGAACTGTGCAGTATTTTAAAATCCACTTAATTGTATTTTTTCCATCTCGTTTTCTATCTAAACAGGGTCGCAGAACTCTATTGACAATTTCTTGAATATTATCTAATCGATTGCATTCTCATACTCCATAGCATTAAGTCGAAACTCTTTAATACAATCATCCATACCTGTCTATCCTTGTACGTTCTGAGGTTCGCATTCTGGCACCAAGCCTCAGAAACATTACATCAGCTTAAATTTGCACACTTTCACTTATACTACAGTATCTCTTTGAATTAAATTCGTAATTTAGCTTTTTTTATTGCCCAATTATTATAGGGTCGATGGGTTGATTCCGCGAGTTGACCATCCGCATCCATCTGGGTGGCCAAAACACAACCCAAATATCCAACCCACCTGGGCTGACCTGACCTGGTTACCCTAATTTGATCCAACTCCGTAAATTCGCCAATATGTATCAAATTTAATTATGAAATACTTGTATTTAAAGCTATTATGAAGAATGTTATTAAAATCAACAGGACATCGCTAATTGCGGATTTTTTATGGGTATCGATGCACTCTTATTAAAACAAAAATTACATTTATTGAGATTTAAATTGATCCTCTAGACTGGCTCTACAATGAAATAGTGCTATTTTTAATATTTTATAAAAAATATTTGAAACGTTAATGATAAGTGTTTCAGTTTCGATTATTAATATTTTTTACTTTTTTTTAAAAAAAGATATCTATTTTAGTATAAAGCTAGTTTAGAGATTCAATTTTAAAAAAAATTAGTATATTATTTATTTCAATAAATGTAATATTGTTTTAGTAAAACTTATACACGTCACTCTGGCTCAGAGTTGTTGGTTTACCGTAATTTTTAATTTTTTTGGTAAATTTACCAGGCTATTTGGTAAATTACCGGTAAATTTACCCTTAGTTATTCTTAAGAAGTGTTTGTGCAACATAAAATTTGATGATAAAAAAATTTTGACCAATCAAATTACATAGACAGGCTTAACCTTAAATATATAACGGTAAATTTACCACACCATTGGTAAATTACCGTAATTTACCAGTAGCAAATTTACCACCAACAGCCCTGCTCTGGCTATACCGACACTCCTCAGTAATAGAAAAATTGTCAGCATATCCAGAAGTCAGTTTAACAAGCACCTCTTTTTATACCAGCATATATAGATAAAATATTAATATGTCAGTTTAACCAGCATAATTAGTTATAGTTGTATGTGTTGTAAAAAATAATTAAATTTGCACAGGTTAAGTTATGTGGCTGAAGGCCATGTAACCCCATGCAAAATTTAATTATTTTATAAACCATTTTATTGTATGGCATCTGATGTACAATCCTGTGCCAACAAGTAAATGCAGTTGTTACATAAGATCCATGCAATAAAGTCTAATATCTGGCACTAATAGCCAGATGCATCAAAAAAAAAAATTATTACATATGTGCAATGCTTTTGATTGGTTTAATTTAATTGGTACAACTATAATGACAGTTGGTTTATAAAAACATGTCACTATAAACAGCAACAAATAATTAATGTGGATAATTTTTTAGCATTAAAATTGTCAGTATGTCAGTATAGTTAATACTTTTTAAGATTGTTGCTATAACCAGTGAATTTATAATAATGGCAGGTTTTTTTAAAAAAAAATGTCAATACAACCAATTGTCAGTTAATCCAGCTATCAGTATAACCAGAGTGACATGTAGTAATAATTATATTAATATAGATTTAATTTACAATATCATACTAGATAAATGGAAATCATTTTGAGTTTGAAGAACAAACACAGATCAGTTCAACAACATGGTTGTTTTTATCTAATTGACCAATCAAAATTCATAATTTGCAAACACATATATAAAACTATTACTATGACTTTGCTTGTAAAGTTCTTTAAACAATTAGAATATACAAACTTAACAAATTGTTTTTAGCAAAAATTTTTTAAAAAAATTTACTAACTGGGCAGTTTTTTTTTTAGATATTTACCAGTATAAAAAAAATTTAATATTATTGGAGATTTTGTTTTTAAGTTTTAAGCAACAGGATTTTAAATGTTATGATTTAGAGATAAACCCAAAATTACTATTGGAATATTTACAATTAGTAATAATTATTAATAATCCTACTTATATTAAATTTTAATAGACTATTATATACATTAATATAATGTCTTTAAAAATTTATATTCTATATTATTTTTAATTTTATTTTTTAATTTTTTAATTTTTTAATTTTTTTTTTTCACTTTGATAACTTTGTACTAATTTATTAGAATTTTTGTAATTTACAAAATTAACTATCTAATTTATGTATTAGGCAAATACCTGGCTGCTATAAAGTACCCAAGTATGGTTATCACACTGATGTTGCTAGCAAGCTCCATATATGGTGCTATCTGTATTTAAAAACCTGCTATAGCTTGGTACTCAGCTATCTATATTCAAACTGATTACATCTTGTCTTTCTTCTAGACTTATTCTACCAACATTCAAGCAGAATATATTTTTTCCTACTTTTGTGTAATACAAATATATATGCCAATTTACAAAAGAAAAATTTCTTTTAAGAGCTAACCCCTTCTTTCAAACTTATTTAATCTAAAATTTTGGTAATACCTTCTTCTGAACTCAATCTACTTAGATCCCAGCAGATTATATCATCTTCTACTTCTACATAAGACTAACATATATACCAAAATTATGAAGGAAAATAAATTTAAAAAAATCTCTAAAGACTCTCTTATAACTAAAAAAAAAAATAGAAATTGTTTAAAAAAAAGAAAACAGAACTCAAAAAAGAAAATGAAACAACAAGAAAAAAAGGAAAGAGAAACCTAAACCAATTTATAAATGAAAATAGATAAAACAAGCAGAAAAAAAAAAAAGTTAAGCGATCCGACATACTATTATAACATGTGCCAGGTAATTTAAAAATTATATACCAGATGCAACATCTGTATATCTCTGTTGTAAGACTAACTTAACCTTAAAATTCTCTTTAACCCATTTCTGAATCTTTTTAATAACCTAGTCTATATCTCAAACCAAGTGCTGCTACTATACTAGAATCTGACTCTTTATATACAGTGCTAATGATAACAAAGATCATGACATTTTTATAAAGATACTGTTACTCTGGTACTCGTGTCTCAAGCCACTTGCTGCTGCCACCAGAAATTACTTTTTTGACCAGGACTTGTTCTAGAGCCTATACAATGTATTCATCTCCAAATACATAGTTGCTATTTACCAGTCTATCTGGATTTGGTAAGTAAACAATGCTGATCTTTTGGAGAAGATAAGCCAAATCCCTACTTTTTATGAAAAATTTTAAAGACCGACAGACAAATGACAAAGTATTACAACACACAGATATATATATTTATGTCAAATTTGATCTGGAATATTTCTATTAAAGACCTGCTACTCTTTTATCTTATTGGATAAGCAACTTCATATACAGCCTCTCTTAATAATCTAAGATAACTATAATACTACTTTTTCAGAGTAGTATAGCAATACTGTCTCTAATTTATTTTGTGTTTTATATTATTTCTGAATTAGGATTCAGAGATATTATACTCCAACTATTATACTATAGCCTAACTTGGTACTTGGAAGTTACTTCTATATATTTTTTACTCTTATTAAGTTTACTACTAACCCCAATATCTACTTTTTATCTAATATTTCAGATCTGTTTTGAGAGTTTTTATTTTCCAATCCAGTTAGTCTAAAAAGATTGGTCTTATCTAGGCTTTAAGTATCTTGTAGTATTCTTTTCTTAGTATATAATTCTGAAGTACATATTTTTTTCTCTAGTACAACTCTGGTGGCCAGGTTTAGTATTTCAAATCGGACCAAAAAATGCAATCAATTAGTTGGATAAAATTTTTTTAACCAATCGATTAAAAATTGATTGTACCAACTAATTGATTAATCAATTAGTTGGTATAATCAATTAATCAATTATTCGATTATTCGATTATTCAATTAACTGATTATTTGATTAAATCAATTAATCGATTATTCTATTATACCAACTAATCGACTTAATCAAATTATATATAGTAAATTAATGTTTCATGATACTAATCATGTATTATCAGTAAGATATTTAATTCGATATTTATTAAGTGTTCTTATGATAACTTCCAGTCAAATTCTTTAGCATTAGAATTTTTCACTATTTATATACAATTTTTACAATATTTGTACAATCAAGCAATATGCTATGTTTGAAGTTTTATTTGTTTAGAGTTGCTACTTTGGGTAATAAAGTTATACCTAACTGAAATTAAACTTCTTGAATTAGATATTGCATGTGTAATTAAAAGAAAATACTATTGCTATAAATTGATTCACTTCATTGATAAAATGATAATTGAATAGAGACAAGGTAAGAATAATAAAATGAAATTTATTTCAACACTCTAAATTATTGTGAACTTACAAGTAAATAAATGTAAAACAAAAACAAAAGACTAATAAAATATATAAAATATATCTATTTAGTTGGAGAGAAAATATCTATATAAGCAAGATTTCATTTTAAAAATAATAATTGATTCAAAAGATAAGGGTCTAATTGGTTTTGTTTGGAAGTTATGTAGTTGCTAGCATTTGAGAACAAGTGCTTTGAAGGAACAAAAGAAGCAGGAATTGCAAAGTATTTTTTTGCAAATATGCAAAGAATTGAGAAGTTTGATCTTCTTTGCTTCCACCAAGTTAACAGGCTATTTTCTTTTGTTGGTTCAATTTCAAAAAGTATAAGATATTTATCAATTTCTGTTAGTTCTTCATTTTCATTATGTTGATGCTGAACTGAGGAGAAAAAGCTTTTTATTGCTAATTTTTTCTTTTTTACAGCCTCTTTAGATAAACATGAGCATTTTCTACCTGATTCGAACTTCCGCTTAATTTATTAAACTGATTTCATAACTTTTCAATTGTTCTTTGTTTTAATGTCAAGTATAAGAACACAAATAGTAGATAATTTTTAAAAGGTTTAAAACTTTTTTAAATATAATATAATAAGATACTATGAAGCCAAACCTGCAAATTTTAGAAGATTTGCAGGTTTTAGCTTTGTGACACTTATATTATTTCACAAAATAATATTTAAAAAATTTTAGTTAAGAAGGTTTAATTGTATATTCATAAAATAATGCAAATATCTACTATATTATTTTACAAATATATAAAATAAAATATACTTACATTTGAACAAAAAAATAAATTCTTAAATTGAGAATCTTGAATATCCAATTAAGTGGCTAACTAATGATCTTTCATAATAGTGCTAATATTCGTGATAAGCTATTATCAAATGAAAAATTTAAAGTTATACAAGCTCTTGTTAAACTTTTATATCTATTTGATAAAGCTACTGAAATTCTTTCTGGATCAAATTATGTTATATTAAGTTAATAGTTCCAACAATTGAAGAATTAGTTTATTAGCTAAATAATACAAATATTGATTTTGATCTTGTAAATAAAGTAAAAGAAGAAATATTATCTAACTTGTCAAGTCAATAGTCCCTACCACACGAAGCTATATAGGTAAAGTTCTACTGTATTGCAACATTAGTAATTACATCAACTATATTAGCTTTTAATATACCTACTTTAATTTGAGCTTTTCTTAATTGCTTTTTTTTTTTCTCATTTACTGTATTATCGCAAAATAACAACTATGAGCATTATTTCGAGGTTCAGCCTGAATTAAGCTCAATTTAGACTGAAATTCATAATTTCACACCTGTGTATTATTTCGCGATAATACAGTAAAAGTGAAATCAAAGCTTTATATTTTGTAAGTAGATTGTATGCAACCTCCAAACCTGCTTCAACACTTAACTGCAATGTATACACAGTGCAAAAAATATTAGCAATTGGGTCTGATACTGAAAGTCTTGCTGATAGTTGTATAATAGCTAGAGCTATTATCTGTAGTTATACTCAATATTTTGTTTTCTTCTAAACCAAATTCCTCAAGTATAGATTCAATAGAATCAACAATATTATTGGTAGTTTTATATGCACTCATTTCGACTATACCTAATGTAAGATTATAAATACAAACTCATCAAAAATCTAGTGGCAGGTTACACCTAGATAAGAATCATGTGCCTGTAAAGTCCATAAGTCAAATTTAAGTGATACTGTATTTGCTTGTATAAGTATATATTTAATAGCTTGGGTTGTATGATTTGTTTCATTTACAATTTTATTTTTAATTGTATTTACACACGGCAGTTTGTATCAAGGATCAAATAAGTTTAAAAAGGCACAAAATATTTTATTTTCTATTAAAGATAAAAGAAATGTACAGGAAATAAGAAGTTTGATGACATTTTATGCAAGCTTCTGTTGTCTTGATGCTGGATAAGATTTTGATAAAGTGGTTTCTATAGTTTGTTGAGAGAATTTTTTAAGCTCTTCAACTAAGCTATGTTTAAGTGATAATTTGTAATATGATAAACATTGTGGAGATAATTGACCATATTTGTTGTTGAACCATGTTACATATATTGAGTTTGACAACCTTCAATTTTATATTTGGTCTTAGTTATTGGCTTGTCATTAAGTTTAATTCCAGGCTGCTCACAAAATTCAAAAAAGATTTGGACCAACCCAGGTTTATCAGAAAGTTTTACTCTTTTAGCATTATTATTGTATTAGAAGTTGTATTAATTAAAGATGGTGGTGATTAAGAAAATGAAACTGAAATATTGTTATCTTGATCCAAAGTACTTATCCATTGACTTGTATTACCATAGTGCACTGCCTAAAAGACCCGGAGTCTAATACAATTTACCCACCCAAAAAACTTATAAAATACCCAGAGGTATTTTGTTTGTTACTGGGCCAAAATTTCCAATTTTTGCCAAAGTTACATAATTTTGTATTATCAGTCAGAGAATATGTCACACTAAGTAATAAATTATCCCTTAAACCATCTAGCGGGCAAATTTGCCTGCTAAAATAATTTTTGAAAAGTTTTTTTGAAATTTCTCAAAATTTATTTAAGCCTGCCCCCCCTATTTCTTTAGTAAAAATTAAAG